TTGACCGTCACATTATAATGCCCCCCATGGCTGAAAGGGCAAGCATGTTTGGTGTTTTTGTTTTTGAGATATTACACCACTGAGCTGCAAGTGAATGTATTTTCATTTATGTTTCTTATATAAATTTAAGATTTATTTATAGTGTGAATTGTGACAATCTTTCTCTTTTCACAAGGTTTATCCAACCATTCTGCACAAAGGTCATGTTCAAGTGTAAAAACAAATATAAAGTTTTAAGGCAAGTAAAAAACAATTAGGTTCTCAAGTAATCTTTTTTTAAAGCATGCAGGCAGACATTTTTTCTTTCCTATTTGGACTCCTTTGTAATTCAGATTTGAGAATTAATGAAGTAAAATATCCTTATATTTAAATAAAACATTGCCAAAGAATTTTAATGTACCTTGTTTATTCATGAAACAATTAGCAATGACTCCTACCCAACAAAGAAAAAGCATGTTTTAATATTCAAGCTGTTTCAAATTGCATGGCTTTTTTCTGTTTGCAGTTGGTAAATCACTGTCACATGCACTTGTGTCTGTTTAGTAGGGCTGTGTTTGAAAATTTATTTGCTCGCCAGGAATAAGAAGATAGTTCCAAACATTGGAAGATTTATCAGTGAAGCAGTGGCGTTTCTTTGTTGTTGTTTTTTTATCTTGTAAACAAAAACCACTGGGCAGTGTTTGAATAGTAATAATTACACATTAAATGTCACTCTCACAGAAAATTTGATATTTTGACTTGTATAATGGCATTACATAAACAAAAGTAGTTAAATAAAAACATACACCACAAAATGTTATACATTGCAGCTCTTTCTGTGCATTGGTGTAGACCATTATGCTGAAGCTTGAGGTGTGGAAGTGGTGTGTGTGTGTGTGTGTGTGTGTGTGTGTGTGTGTGTGTGTGTGTGTGTGTGTGTGTGTGTGTGTGTGTTTGTTTAGTAGCTGCATTGTTTCAATAAAATGTACTGAATGCTTAGTGTACATGATAGAAGCGTTATTTTAAAAAGTAAATGCTTTACACAGCTACACTATCTCTCCAAAGTGTTACTCTTACTCTTTTCTCTGTTGCTGTTTATTTATAATTATTTATTCATTTAATTAACACCTTTATCCAAAGCATATGTTTAATTAATCAGAAATGTTGCTAACAAAAGAAATATGACAAAAAATAACTCTCTCTCTCTCTCTTGTTAACTTTTTTTTATTCATTGAAGGTGTAATTATTTTCTAATCAAACTGTTAGTCTTACACTATTCTGTTCTACTGTATATTTTGTATGTTTTATCAGTCAACAATTTTATGTTAAAAAAATGATGACTGTTAACCTGCTTGGAACAGTGACTGTTAAATACAGATTTGTTTTGCTTAAGTCAGCTGAAGTTCTTTTAACTGGCAACAACTGGATGCTTTGAAAATTAAATTTACTCCATGTAGCTATATGGTTATCACATGTAGATAGTATCAAATACATGTTCATAACTGAGCATTTTTTATCTAAAATATAAAACAATGATTACTCTTCTATATAACACATTTTTAAACAACATGTGAATACTTTATTTCATTTATATGAATTACCAGTAAAATACAATGATTTTCAACCAAATATGAACCAGTAGTTATGGTGACATGATCAGTTAATTATGCAAGTTAGTACTCTTGAAGGTTATTTGTGCCGAGACTATGAAGATCAAAATCTACCCTTTTTTTAAAGCCATACTTTTTAGTGTGCACAGTTTTCTGGGCAAATCCCATGGAAACAAAACTAATAAGCATTTTTATATGCTTCAATAGTTGATGATATAATTATTTGTAGTACTGCACTTACACTGAATTGAACATGTTAGATTAATTTATTGAAACATCATCTGTTTACCAGATTAATAAAAAAAAATCTTGCATGCAGTAGTGCACGAGACCTTAATAATTGTTTTGTTGGGCCTTAACAGTTCCTATTTTTGATTAAAGGGTTAAAGATGATGATTGCCACTCATCATAAAACATTTCTTTTTTAAATCTAGAAAACATTATTAGCATTTATCATTTAAAGGGCACCAAATAATAAAACTGTCATTTAAACATGTTTACACAAGTTTTCAAGGATAAGTTAGAGAAGAAATTTAGTTACGAAGATAATGATGACAAGATTGTCTTTGGACAGGCAACAAACATCAAATTGATAATTCTACTAACTGATCAGAAACATACATCACAGATGCAGAAACTGTACTTATGCCAGGAAGAACCTCATTACTGAGTAATTTGCAAAATATGACCATTTCGGACAAACTGATGCAGCCAGACCTTAACTCTGAAGAATGAAAATTTCAGGTTATTTATGTTTCTAAGGTTCTAACTAATAATTATATTTCAATAAAACTGATTCATTAGTTGTATTCAATGAATAAATAGTGTTCTAAAAAGTTACTGTAATATTTCATCTCTTATTAGAAGAAAAATAAGGATATTATGGCATATGCTTCTTGATTGTAACTGATCTTTCAGACTGAAAATCAGCTGTACCATTAACAAGTCATTGCTTGTACAAAAATAAGACTATGGTCATTGGACTTTGGTCAAAAGTATACTAGGAGCTTAAGGAATGAATGCAAGGCATGTACAAGAAAATATTGTTAGTAAGAAAATTCCAGGGAAATTCTTCCAGAAAATTCTAAAGTGAAAATGCATTCTATCAGATCCCTAGGTGCTACATCAAATATGGGGATGATTTTGTTAACATGATTTACATTTCAAACTTTGAAGAAACTGATCAGTTTGTAGTTGAATTGGGAAGAAAATGTGATGCCCAATATGATGTGAAAAATATAGGTTCTTAAAAAGAGGAAATCAAAATTGGTTTTATCGTGGTGTGGCTGAGAAGTCCCACAAACTTTCAGCTAAGTAGATGATCATTGCTCATGCAGTTACAAGATCAGCCGCCTGAGTACAAACATATATCAATACCCGACATAAAGACTGAACTTTTTGCTAATCAAACGAAGCATCAGTAAACACCTATGACTAGCTGTCAGGATAATACTACATAGCAAGGCAACAATATTCTGAAGTGATATTGAATATAATAAAATTGAAAGAAACTTGAATATTAGTACTGAAAGCAACATACTATCAAATGAAGCTTGTGCTAGTAATAACACTGCTGATTTCTCAACATCAAGGGTGCAGCCATGGTATGCAAAAATGTACTAACCATTTCATAGTGAAATTTCTTATACAAATGACATTAATTCTCTTATCAAATCTAGTGAAGAGTAATTGCTTGAAACTGCATTGTTAATAACAGTTTTTCTTTCCTGGATGTGCATTTTTAAAAAATACTTCTCTTGTATAGTAAGCATTTCATAGAGTTATTGAGTAACTCTAGCATTTCAAAAGCAGACATTTGGTTGAGTCCACCCACCTAACACTGATTAACTGTTCCCAACCAATCAGAATATTCAATCAAGTGCCTCATTGCTTCACAGTGTACATATTACAACAAGTAATCTTCCTAGTGTGGAGGTCTAATGCATATTTTATTTACCAGTACAGTTTTTCTATTATGAGATTCTAGTAGCTAATAAAGCTCACATACCATTTTCCTTACATTAGCACAAATATGCAACTTTTGAACTCAAAACGGCATATAATGCCTTATTACATTAGAATATAATCTAGTTTACTTTTATTTCTTTATCTAGCACACTCTGGTCATGGTCATTGCTTTGAAAACGTGACAATCAACTTAGCAGGTGTTCTACATCTGCAGGGTGGTATCTCCATTACCAAAACATACATCAGAAAGTTTCTTAATACACTATTCATACCTTATATAGATCTACAATTGGAATTGCTGTCACAGACAAAAATAACAGTGCAAAACCAATCTTCTAACTGTTAAAAATTTTTTCTCAAAAATAAGTATTAAAATATAATATCTTAACCCTTTGATTTTTTGAAGTCTAGTAAAAAAATCATTATATAATCTGACACGCTTTAGAAAATGAAACAATAAAAATTTCCAATATTATTTATATTGTACCTCGTACTCAAGGCCTGCCGATTTATATGGACTGAATACAAAATGTGAAACTGCATCTTTTGCTTAAACAATATTGACCTTTTCCAATGCTTGAAGTTTAAAACTTCAATAATTCTAAATTCAGGTGGAAATTTAAAGCTACAAGTTTTATTTTAACCATGAAAGAAAACTTTCAATATGAGAAATTTAGGATTATTCCACAATAACTTACATATATAGTTATCTTGGAGATGATTTTATTATTTCAAACTGATAAAAATCATCACTACAGTTGGGGATTATTAAAAATTACATAAGCAATCACATCGAACAGAGATGCTATAAAATACTGTATTTAACCCTAAAAAAACAAAAAAGTATCCCATTACAATTGAGTACTGTAATTTTGTTTTCTTAGTTACAATAACACTTTAATGAGTGCAATAAAGTATCTATATATACTTACCAATTGGTTCAACATGAGTTATGTGGTCAACAAAGTCTCTTTTGCCCAAGTAAACTGTAATCTAGAAAGAAAGAAAATACTATTGTTTTTTACAAGCAATGTACAACAAAAAAGTATTATTGTATTGCCACAATAAGTATCATTACTGTATGAGCTTGTGTGTTTGCAACCATCCATTTAAGAGTTTACTCTTCAATTAAAAACTTCTATTCTCACATTGCAGAAGCTATTAAAATTCCACCATTTCTGCTAAAGGAAACACCTATATGAGTTTGGTCATTTTGTATGGCTGGTTCACATAAACCATACAGCAAGACTATGCTAAAACACTATAATGACACTTCACTATATGGCTAAATATCTCTCAAAGGCTTAAGAAAAGGAGATAAAAGTGGAAACTTGAAAGTTAAGAAAAAAGTTTAAAATCTTATAGACAATCACAACAAACCACAAGAAGTTTCAAATGGCCTTTAATCTTTTTAGCATAACTTAAGGTACCAAAAATACATGGAAAAATATGAGTGTCACTATTTTGTTCCGATTAGCATAATCATTACTGTTTTTACACGTATAAAAGCAACTTTACTTAAAACCTAACCATCTCTTTCATTTTAAACAAATTGCTATTATATAGGTACACATATAATGGTTGATAACTTTACACATACAATATTAACACAGAATGCCATTAACATTTTAATGAAAAGAAAAAAAACTAATTTCTTTATCTTTATTTAAAGAAATTTAAAATATTACACTGGTTTAATTATCCATACTCATCTAATAATCTGAGATATGGGTTAAATAAAATCATTGACGAAATTGTGACTAACATATATTCTTAGTTATTAAATTCAGTCATCCTTATCATTTCAAACGAAATAGTAGCCATAAAAATCACTTAATCTGTGCACTTAAAATAAATTCTCAAAACCTAATTCTAGCATTATAACTTGTTTTTTTCTACTTCAAGGTTGTTCAGCTTTGGGCCAGCATGGCCTGTGGATTTAGGTAGGAGGGAGCTCCTGATTTAAGTGTTTCTAGTTCAATTCCCATTGTTTGTCCTGTCTTTATTATAGTAAATCCACTAAGGATATCAGCCTCTGTCAATAATTTTGAGGGAAGCAACTCTTTGGCATTGGATAAAGAATTAAATAAAGTGCAAATTTCTGTTTTTCTACATTACATTGTTTCTAACTTATATTTGCACAACTGTATTCTTTAAAGTTTTATAAGCAAGTGTAGATCTAGGAGTATACGTTATTTTCTGAAAATTATTTTAGATTTTTTTCTGCCCAGCCCAAAGAATTACTTTATTTTTGCTAAGAACCTATCAGTCCTTGAGAACATTGTCCATTTCTTGATTTTCAAGCATTTCCCTTAGTATTTGTACAGGCCTTGGTTGAAACCTTGTTTATAGTGCTATATCAAGTGGTTTAATCATTTACTAAAGAAACACAGCTTTGAAAACGGCTATTAAAGAAAACTTCCATTTGTGAATTGTGAAAGTACTCGTGGTATATTAATTAAATTATATTAGTTTGAAAGCCACAGAAATATTCTTCAATGAAAAGACATCAGATAACTGGAGATTAGGTAAGCTTATACAGTTTAGATATGGGTTGAATGGGTAACAAAGAAATCTTTGTTACAAGTTTAACACAGTATAACAAATGTACACTGTCTGATGAAGGTTTTGTCATTGATCAATCAGTTAGCAAGTAGAACTAAATTGCTCATCTTTAATAGTGAAAACAATTTTTTTACTACTTACCTTTCCATTGGGAGAACTTTTCTTAAAAACTCTAAAACAAAAGAAAAAGCAGTGTGTGAAAATGTTATTTCTAACATGCATATTGATGTACAAGAAGCAAATACTAAGCCTCCAGTTTGTATATGTATGGGGACATTGATTGCAAAGTAAAGTATTAATAGCAACTCTGGAGATAAAATCATTTCATAAAAGAAAAAATACACTAGAAGATTGAAAATACACTAATTTTTATTGTAAAAAAAAGTTCATAAAACTTTAGTACAAGTACACGTCCTTTACTTCCATACTTAGATATTAAAGCATGACACAAAAATAAGACAAAGTTTATAACTTTCTTAAAATTTGAAGAAATATTATTATTTCAATGATTTTTTTTTAAGTACATTCAAAATTTAAATTTTAACCTTATATACGCAGCAGGGTCAAATTGCAAATGTCAACTTTTTTACAAAGTTGCATTCAAAATTCAATTAAACTACTTTATTATCAATGTACGTTAATAAACTTGGAATCAAAATATAGTTTATAATTCAAATTTTTATGTTACCAGGTTTTAGTTTCTTAACTCCAAATGAAAATATTTAAATAAATTCTCAATCTGCACCTCTGAGTCACATAACGTGATGATGCTCTGATTTTTCATTTAAATATTTTTCTCTTTCCTTATAAAATCTTAAGATTGTTCAACCAGTTATAAAACATACTTTCCACATTAACAATCCAGAACATAAAATTTCAACTCTTTATCATCTTGCTTTACTGAGATATCACAATATTTATTCAACTGACATGACATGCTTCTTCCATATTCTTGTCTTTTAAGAAATGTCTATAATTCTCTTTATCATTACTATTGGACATGTTTATAACCAACAGTAAAAAAATCACATGATCTTCTGGTTTGTTTTAGTTGTAAAAATCAACAGTTTGTGAGGAGAGCTTTCTGTGTTTGGACTGAAGATGTTGCTCTGGACAATAATGAAATTATTTTTACCCATTTATATGTTCCAAAACTTTATAGTTGATCTCTTATTTTTTGCTTCCTAACATTAACTCTAGAGAAACCATCAATGTACAGTGAATAAAAAGTTGAAAAATATGAGATAAAATAAAATATTTTTTTTCTAGAATGGGTGCAATTTAGTATTATTTTTCCTAACAACTTCAGGCTTCTAACCTTTATACAGCTACTATCCTTTAATTTTATTGTTCTTTGAACCATGTATAACTAGCATAACAAAGCAATAAATCACCTGATGGGAACTTAGGGTAAACAAACTATCAAGTTGCATAATGAGATGGCAATCTGCATGTGTTCCTCGAAGAGAAATCATGAGAATTTATTTTTCACCTTTTATTATCTAACCTAACAAGTTTCTAATTTGTTTAAAAAAAGGAACTTAGCACTTACTTTATTTAGCCTTGAAGCCTTTATCACTCAAGTACGTTGTTTAGTAAGCTTATTTTTTCTCACTATTTTGTACGTTCAAAAATAATTCATGTAGCTTTCAAAAATGCATTTTAGAACACACAAACACATATCAGGCACTAGAATATAATATCCCAAAAGTACTATAATTTGTGTAGATTTATAATTAAAATAAAACTTGACATTCATTTAGGAGATTCTACCAATTATACAAAAAAAATATGAAACTAATATATAAAAAGAAGAATCCTTATTCTTAAAATGAAAATCAACTCTCTATCATACTGATTAAGTAAAAGCTTCATAAATAAATAAACAAATATTTTTTATTATTTTATTAAAAGATAGGACTTTGTGTACAACATACTTGTAAGATTTACTAAATACTTGGCAGATTTCAAGGTTATATGGTGGTTACAAAGTCGAAAAAATTCATTGATAATGTCTCCATAGGTTAGAAAAACATTAAAGGACAATAAAAGAGCTTTTGATTCATCTAGCCTGTCCTATCCACTGAATTAAACCAAAAACTAAAAATAAATAAACTCAAAGCCAGTCCAGTCCTTGTCATTCAAATATTTATCAAGCTTTTCCATATTCCTTCCATAAGCCAACCATCAACCATTCTGTTACAAAAATAAAGTTGTCATAGTTGAAGATGACTCCTACCTTGCCAAAAGTAATATTTGTGTCCATTAGTCTTACCATTATCACCATTAAATCTGAAAAAAGATGATAGATCAACACTATCAATTGATTTAATCTTAAAGACCTCAATCAGATCCTCCTTCGATTTTTTTTTCAAGAGAAAAGTTCAGGGATCTTAATCTATCCTCGTATGGCAACCTTTCCATCCCAGGTATCAACCTTCTACCCCTCCTCTGAACCTTTTTTTAACAATCTAATGTCCTTTCTAAGGTAAGGAGCCCAAGAATGAACAGAATACTCAAAATTTGGCCTAACCAATGACTTATACAATGACATTATAACCTCTTTAGATTTGAATTAAGTATTTCTGTAGATACAATCTAAAATCCTATTCATCTTACCACTAGCAACAGCACATTTCTTGGATGGCTTAAGAGACTGATCAACCAGAACACCAAAATATTTTTCTTCCATAACACTGAGAAACATATTCCCATCAAAATTATACTCATAATT